AAAAACTCATGAGTATCTAAGAACTCCCAAGAGAAACCAAAAGCAGATTACCTGTAGATGTACAACGGCATCACTTCCTTGTGGTATCTTAGTTTTTAACTTCTTAAATTAACTCTGAAACTTCTTCACCAGGATATCCCATTATGCTCTATAACTATTTTCTAAACTCATATTTTCTAAGAAAACTTGTCATCAGGTATGTTCTCACTTTAATCTCATGAAGCTGAAGACAAGTGTTTTCTATTTCCAGAAGCATTAACAAAACACAAGATGTTATTTTAATAGGACTCACCTTAGTGTGAATGAGCACACCAGATACAGAGCCGGCACAAACAACTGAGCTCTGTACCCCAAATCTTCTCAGAGGCTTCTAGTGCAAGTTTGGTACCATCAGTATTACTTCCATCTCTTCTGATAACAGTTGCAAAGTGTTCTGTTTCCTCTTTTTCATTTGAACATCTTTCTATATGTTTACCAATTATTATTCCTCTTTTTCTGTCTCTCCTTTTCCTTTCTTTTTTTGTTTAAGTGGCCATGGGTACAGCTCCATACCAGTCATAGAGAAAGGTGTATATGTGTATATCTGCCCTTCAAACCCTGCAGTGAGTCCCACTTATGGAGAAATGTGGTAGCCACAATGATGCAAGGCAGCAGCCAGGCATTGAGAATGAGCCTTATCTCTGGGAACACTGACTTTGAGCAGCTCTTTGCTCTTTCATCATCACTGCTGTAATGGTTAAGAAGTCACTGGACATTCCCTTACAATGGAAAGGCCATGTGAGGACTCTTTGGAGGAGGATTCTCAAGCCAGAAACAGGTTATAAGAGTCCCACTGGACTCCAGTGACCTCACTGCTATCTGAAGAGACTCTCCCTGGTCCAGATAGGCACATTCTATTAACTCTCTTGCCTGCAGTTTCAGCCTCTTTCAGTGCTAGTGTGCTGTCTTTGGGAGTTATAGATTTTAAGGTGCATCATCAGCAAGTGTAGGCTCTGTGCCTTGTCATCTGCCTAACAGTAGGCTCTTGAATTGACAGATCACAGGGCAAGCACCCTCTACCCTGAGCACAAGGAACACTTGTCAGTTCCTCTATCCTCTTCTGCTTTGTTACTAAATCCTGTATCCTTAAATGTATACGTTGGGGGAGATCTAGCCTGACCCAGATTATCCTACTTAAGCCCTGACAGTGGCAGTTATGGAACATACCCCACATACTCACCCTTAGTCATCTCCTGGTTCCCGGTGGAGCACCCAGCCCCCAATCTCATGCTTCTATTGATGAAAATTCACTTATTTTAAAAATATTTTTCCATCCTTTGCTCCTTTGGTGCATTATTTGAGTCAGATGTCATTTGCTGTCTCTGAAAGGCCAGCTGAATGTGTAGCTATAGGGAACACCTGGTGTATGAACCCTAGTCCTCAGAGAGGCCTGGATAGCAGCAGAAAGCAACTGTCCCCTCAGAGCTGATGCAGAGAGGACATTGTGGAGGCCGGCTCACTGTTTCTGTTTGTGAGATAATAAGTGATGAGTCCCCGGAAGGAAGCTTCCACACGGCTCAATGTCCCCATGCTGTAAGTACAGCGTGTGTTCTTGGGGGTTCCCAAGGTAACCGTTTCAAACAGTTGCCAAAATGAAACCAATTCAATTATTGTTTGATGACCTGAAAAATATGATTTTCCTTGGGGAAAGAGGAACTGAAACGAGGAACAGAGAGAGATCCATCTCTTTGCTAAAAGGCACCCAGGAAAGTTTAGACAGAGATTCTGTCTTGTGGCCTGATCTTTAAAGTCCTGCACATCTTATTTCAGATGAAGCACATTCAGCACTAAAAAAAAAGGCTAAAAATATGTATTCATCACTGTGAGGGCAGAGATTTTTCTCTTGAAAGGCTGTTTTTAATGTTCATTATATAGCTTGCATGTTTTTACTTGATATGCATTTACTAAATGTAGCTATGCACCTTGTCAGGCACTCTGAAGACTTTCAGAAAAATAATTCTGGCTGCTCTCCTTTATACTTTTTTCCAGTATATCACTTGAGTTTTTAACTTGCTACACCGATAAAAAACATAAGTTATGTGCTCAGATTCTTTCCATGTTTTCCTAAAAGCTCAAAGGAAATGAAGAAAGGCAGAAATTTGCACAATTTATATTTTATGACAGTTTCATTCTTTAAGGTAAAATGTAAATGTCCAAAGATATTATAGTGGAACATTCTAGAAGAATTCACAAAACTGTTGTTTTTTAAAAGTTAAATCTGCCTCATTCCTTAAGAAGAAAAACATCATGGGTTTGGTCAAAAAGCATAGGTGAAATAGGAATTGTAATTATGTGGAAGCCAGATTCAGTGACTTCCCCATGAGATCTGGCTAAATGAGCTTACTAAAGTGAGATATGTAGACTGAGGTTTATAAAAAAGAAAGTGAAATTTTTTGTAGCTTTGCTTGCAATAGTAAAAGCAATATAGGAATTGTTAAGATTAACTTATATGAATAGTAAAGAGGGTGTTTTGATGAACTTTTTATGGTATTTTTGAGTGGGTCTTATGTAGCCCAGGCTGGCCTCATACTAGCTACATGGTCAAGGACGACCTTGAACTTCTAATCCTCTTGCCTCTGCCTCCCAAGTTCTGGGAGGTATGTACCACCATGCCCTGCTTTATTAAGAACTTTTGATATGTAGGCATTACAGAAACTGTTGAATAAAAGCAATAAGGGATTATTCACATGCACACAGACACTTTTTTCTAATCTCATTTTTAGTCAGATGAGGAATAATGATAGGTTATCTCTAAGTGGCAGGTGTCAGCTACTGCTGCAGAGCAGACACCATGGGCACGTCCCTGGTCATCATTGAGAAACATCTGCTTCTCACCTACATGACTGATTTTCCACTGAAGTCTGGCTTATCTTGGGTTGGGTTCCAGATGACAGAATGGGATCAGATTTGTTCCAGGCACCTGCCAGTCATTTGGAACCAGTGGCTACCCTGGGCATATCATTCTCCTAGTGATAACAAAAATGGCAGAGGATAAGATCAATCGTTAAGCACAGTTTGAGTATCTGCTCAATAGCATTCTAATGGTCAGAACATGCAGCAGGGTCAAGCCCAAAATTAAAAGGTCCAGGCACAGAGTGTCCTCTGCCATGGTCAGCCCATGGTGAGGGTGTGGATGTATATAAATACTACAGGGCAGTGAAGAACAGGCCGTGAGATTATTCTTCCTAATGCAACAAGATTAAGGTTTCTTTTACTATATTCTGTCTTTCTCTATGGACAAATGTTTTGTTTTATAAAAATGCATGAACAAAATATTACTATAAAAATACCAGCAACATGATACTCAACAGAATAGAACTGGTAATCCAGAAGCAAACTGTTAGATTTATAGTCAATTGATATTTTTTGCATATGTGCATTCATGTGGCAAGTAT